GCCGGGCGCCTCCGAGGCAAGGCCGCCCCCCGCGGGGGCCCCGGGGAGGGCCTCCAGGAGGCGCCCCCCTCGGCCTTCCCTGCGGGGGCAGCGAGCGGCCACGACCACATCGGGGGCACGCCCTCCGGGATGGCCGCATACCACGGGGGGAAGGTCCGGGTTCGAGGCTTTCGAGGCTTTCGGACGTTGTCGTCGGTTCCAGGCGGTTTTCCAGCCTCGGGATGCTTGCCGGCAGCTGCGCCTCGCCGAGGGCGTTCCAGGGGTGCCCAGATCGTCTCGAACGCCCGCCGGAGACCCGAGGCAGGAACCCAAAACCACAAGTCGGCGGCGAGCAAGGGGAGGAAGTGAAAAGTGGAAGGGCCTCCCTGAAGGCGGCGGGACTTCTCAGAAGCCCTCGCGCCTTCTGAGAAATTTTCTCTGTCTTCGGGGAAAGACTGGAAAACTTCTCAGAAGGCTGGGGGACGTCCGAGCCCTCTGAGAAGGCCTCCCCTCTTCATTCCCCCCCCTCGCTCGCCGCCAAACCAAACCATCCCAACCCAACCCGAAGGCCCCGATTTGCCCTTCATTTCCAGTGTGGGGGGGGTCGGGGAACATTGAAGAAACACGTATGGAACCCGTACCCTCCCCAACCCGACACTCGCGTTTTCGGGTGAGGTTGGGTTGGCCTGGTAGGCCGTCACGGAAGGCCTTGCGCATGCCAAGAACTGTCGGAGCACCAGGGCTAGCTTCGTGCTGGCTGTGGTCGACTTGGCGTCCGGGGGCGGCCAGATCGGCCACCAAGCAACGTGCTCATGCCGAGGACGGTGGGTCCTCCCCCGAGGGGCCGCCCAGAACAATCGCCCTCGTTGTGGTTGTGGCTCTCGTCCGTGCCCCGATTCCCAGAACAGGAAGGGGAACCATCGGCAGAAGCATGTGCCAATTTCTGTTTCGATTCCTTCCCTGGCCACGGTCGTTTACCTGGGGGAGGGGACGCTCGGCAGAAGCATGTGCCAATTTCTGTTTCGATTCCTTCCCTGGCCACGGTCGTTTACCCGGGGGAGGGGACGCTCGGGCGGGAGGGTAACGCTAACGGCGGCCGCGGCGTGCACCCGCCAGGGTGCACCCGTACGATCGTCGGCGTTACCCACGGGGGGGGGAGGCGTCCGGCCCGGTTTACGAGCGTTACCCCGAGGAGGAAACAGGAACACTTTTTTTGGTCTGCGGGTCGAGAGCGAGCCTCCTCCGGTTAAAAGCTAGGCGGGCCACGCGAAGCTCTAATCCCAGACCCCCGACGTCATGATTTTTCCATGACGTCGACCCCCAGAGGTCTGGACCCATTCCCCAGGACCGGTTCTTCGTCCTGAGTCGTTCTTTGACGGTCCCGAGGGTCGGGAAAGGCCCCCAGAGGCCAAAAGTCATGGAGAACCTCCCGTCGGGATTTATTCATGACTCGAAGGGGTCTGGGATTGGGGAGGGAAAACAAGAACACCCATCGTCAACTTGTGGGAGAGGGCGCGCAGCTCTTCTGGATCGGCGCCGGAGAGGCTGGGACTCTTAGGGGGGGGGCCACGCGGTCGAGAGGAAAAGCACACGCTGGAGCTGAACGACGCACACCGTCGGGGCGTTGACCCAAGGAACCCTACATAAGGAACGAGGCCCCTTTTCCTCCTCCTCCTCCTCCTCCTCCTCCTCCTCCTCCTCCTCCTCCTCCTCCTCCTCCGCTTCCTCCGCTTCCTCCCCCCACTCCTAGCCCTTTCGATCAGGGTCGGCGGCACCGGCCGTCAGGCCTCTCCAATAAGGAACGAGGCCCCTTTTTCCATAAGTTAAACTCTGACTTCCCGTCGAAAACCTCGGGAAGACCCAAGACAAACAGCGAAACAATCGAGGAACACGGAGCCCCTCCCCAACGAAAAGGGTTCCTTCTTCAGCGCCCCGGCTGTGCCTTAAGAGGAGCTCTCGGCACTGCGGCCAAGCTCCACTCCAGGCCAGCCCCCCTCCTTGGCCAGTTCTTCGAGCCGCGCGCTCCAGGCCCGCCCCCCGCCCTGGCCACAGTCTCCGAGCGAGGTCCGGCAGTGGCCACGAGAGCCCCCTCCCTGGCCACTTCTCCGAGCGAGGTCCGGCAATGGCCACGAGAGGACCCCCGGTAACCTACGATGACCAGCGAAAACCATCAGATAAGGATGTTGCTTCGGCCAGTGTGCACCCGAAGGCGCGAGGTAGGATCGCCAGGGGGCAACGGCACACTTCGGGCCCGGCGGCCGCGGCCTGCGGCCGTCGTTCGTCGAAGCTTGCTCGACGACGCGGGGCGGGATCCCAGAGGACCACCGACACACTTTCGGCCTGGCGGTCGCGAAGTGCGGGGTGTGCGAGGCCGGTCGGGAGCTCTTGCAGGCGGCCGAGGGGATCTGAGCTGGATAAAAAGACCAAGAGAAAGTCTGCCAAAGAAGGTGGGAGGAGAGCAAACTCGATCCACAGCAGCCCTTGGACCCATCCAGGAGTCGAGCCTCGCCAGCTTGTGCAGCCGCGTCTGGCCCTGGCGACGAGGGGGCTCCTTTGTCCCCTATCCCCCCGCTCGGCGAAACCGGAGCTGTGCCACCTCAGCCCCCCAACCGGCTCCAGCCCCAATCCCAGACCCCCGACGTCGTTTTTTTTTTTGTTTTTTTTTTGTTTGTTTTTTTTTTTTTTTCCAACCCGCCGACCCCTAAAGAATCTCGGCTCATTGCCCGGGACCGGCTTCTCACCCTGAATCGTCTCTTCACGGCCTAAAGGCCCGGTAAGGGCCCCCGGAGGCCGAACATAGCGAAAATCGGCGGCGACGGTAAGGGCGAATAGCCGAGGGGCGGGCATTACACGTATTCGCACGGGAGCCCTGTCGAAGACATAGATCATCGGCGCCCCTGGATACATGTATTGCGCCCCCCTGGGCGATTCGCCCCTATCGACAAAAACCTTTCTTCTTATTTCAAGACTCGAGGAGGCCTGGGTTTTTTGGGGGCACGTCCCCCTTCAGGGGGATTTTGGGCAAAAAATTAAAAATACCCATAACATACCCCCCAAATGCTCAAAAATAGTCAAAATAGCCCCCCGACGATTTGTTTTTAATAATTTTTGAAGATTCCCCCTGTAGAGGGACAGGCCCGACATGAACATGGCGAAAAATCCATTCTTCTCTCAAGCCTCGAGGGGGCCTGGGTCTGGCCATCGCTCTGACGTCCATTCCCTGTGTTTTTGTTAGGTTTCGTGCGTGTTTTTTTCGCCAAGTGACCAAGGATGCTCCTCGATGGTCCTCGCCGAGGAAAAAACGCACACGTCCGAGCGATGCCAAGGGGTCTTTGGGGGGGGGTGCGCTGCTCTTCCGGCGCGGAGCTGCGCGCGGGGCGAGCGGCCCCCCGAGCACACGCGCGGTCGCTCCCCGCGCCTCC